CTCTAATCTTTTTTATTTTAAATTTATAAAAGTTACAAAATAAATTGAAGTATTTTTTCTATTCAAAAAACAAAAAATAAATATTAGCAAAGCCAAATGGATATATAAATGCGGCTAATACCTTACGCATGCGCGGTGTATTGCCCAATTCCATGTAAGATTAAAAACCAAATCACTTGTAGTTTTTCGGTTATTTTATGGTGTAATTAATTATCATTACTGATTACAAATTTTGTTTTTTAATTCTTCTTGCAATGTCAATGATTAGTAAACATCAAATAATCACTTGTTCATAGTCATCGCGCAGCATGCTGTGGATATCACACTATTTGTTGCTGCTAAACGTACATATGCATATATGCGTACATACATACGAGTATATATATATATGGAACTGTAATATTTAATCCCACAAACATTTGGCAATGTGAACAGCTTAATCTAACATCACTCGGCAACTGGCAATGTCATCGAAACAGGCCATCTCTTCGCAGATAGTCTTATATGCAGCAAATGAAGTGTTTTTCTATTCAAAAATAATGAATCATAGAAAAAAGAAATCAATATGAAAACTTTTGACAATAAACGATATTGAGCGTTATTACATATTATTGGCGTTGAGACAAAAAAAAAATGCTGATTTGACATTGAAATGTGCTTAGGCTCTTGCCCAGTTATGGCGAAATATTAGTGCAAGCAATGATATGCACATAAACAATTTATTTGTTATACTAAATTTTAAGCTTACTCCAACATAGTAAAGCTGTATTTTCAATTTAGTTTCTATTTTTATTTCGTTTCTTCGCAAGATTTTTCTTATAGTTTTGATTCGATTAATTTGCTCTTCTGCTTTAAGAGCATTTCTTTCTAATTTTTTTACATTTTTTCATCTATTAGAAATCCAAAAGGCAATAATTAAATATTTAATGAAATTCATTAATGTAATTTTATGCATTAATCATAAAAAAAGGCTTTTCTTACTTAGCCGAAACCAACCAGCAGATTATACTGAAAATTTGTCAGTTTATTTCTATGGTTCCTTGGAGGCTTGTGCATACAGAATTTTTCGGGAATTTAAAAAAGTATTTACTTGGAATTCTTGTATCTGCTTCGACATGGAAGCCTCACAATAAGTAATCAAATCCTAAAAACGTAATTAAAATTGAATATGATAGCCCAATAGATAAGAGTAGGCTTCTGGCTCAGTGTTGCTCCTTACGAGGGTATTAAATGCCTCCTCTTCCTTCTTTCAAATTTTCTTTTGTACGGGCAGCGGATCGAACTATGTGAAAAAAATATACGGTTCGTTTCTTTTGAATTCTCGGATGAAACTCATATATGGAATACTTTTAGTCATTTTCCTCGAAATAAACAAAATATTTTCTTTACGTCAAAGGGATCACCGACAGATTACAAAAATTAGTTTGATTTCATAGTTCGTGCGTAGGTTTCTTTGCTTGGCATTTTTACTAATCTCTCGCTGCAGATTGCAAGCTATTCTAATGCGATCAACTTAATTGTGAATAATAATTTACGAGGGTATTAACAAAAATTCGGTCAGTTGGCGATATTCAATTTGTTTTTGTTAAATCTAAAAATAATAAATCCTTTGCAATTACTTTGTTAGTCTTCTCTTCAAACTAAAGTGGAAACGAGAAAAAAGTCAGCAGCACCAAAAGTAATGATGTCAGTTTACTTAACCCGATCTAAAATTGTAGCTCCTATTCCACTGGAAAAGGGTCATACTGTAACAAAAAACTGATACACCGACGAGTGCTTTTCAACGGTTTTAAAAAACTTTTGTTGGAAAACAGGAAGACAACGCGCCATTCCACATTGCGGCAATAACGAGTAATTTTAATGCGATCTCTAACGAACAAATACATCTAGTACCATATAGTGCCTTGCAATTTCTGGTTAATTCCAAAAATAAAAAAATTAAAGTTAAAAGGAAAAGTCCTTATGGTGAACTTGATAAACTTAAAAGGCATGATTTTGACTACTTCTTCCAGAAGAGGATTCCTAGGCCGATATGGAAATGCATTGAAATCAATGGCGATTATATAGAGAAGATGAAAAAGACAGATTACGAATTACGAAATTTTGTTAATCCCATTATATACCCGACTGGTGCATTTGGCTTACTTCAAGTGAAGAATCCTACCCATACAAATTAGCAGTTAGATCACTAATGTAATGAAATCTTAATATTTTGAAAAAGACGAAGCTTGATTGGGGTTTTCTATCGTTCATTGCAATAGTAATACGAATAAGAGTTGGGCAAAGCACAGAAAGCCATATTAAGGGGCACGCCTACTTTAAGGCCTAAAAAAAGGTGATTTATGGGAATTTTTATTATAAAAAATACTTTATCAATTATTTCTAAATTTTAAGAATATATTTATACATGCATATACAAGAATATATAGTGAAATTTTTGAAGAAAAAAATTAAATATTTTTAAGTTATAGTCGATCTCCAACGGCGCGAAAAAAAGGTCCTTCCCTGCTGCAGTGATTCCGGCCTTCTCCGTGAATAAAATCTAAAAAAAAAATTCTCGTTAAACTAGATAATATTGTCTGTACAATGACCTACGATAAAAAAATCAAAAATTGACAATATGGCGCCGTTAAAAAAAAAAACAGTCGAATTTTACGCAAAATTTTGGTCGTTTTTGGCCTGCCAAAAATCAATTTTTTGATCAGATCAAAAATCGATAGGTCATTGCAGGGGGAACTAAATATAGAACATGTAAAAAAATTCGATAGTGATCGGATCATTTATTTTTGAGTAATCACTGCAGCGAATTCGAAAAATGCTATTTCGAGAAAAACGCGTTTAAAGATAAAATGATCGTTTTCACTCGTAGCTAATGAGACTCTCTAGCTGCCGAGCGGCTGCTCTTTAATTTGCTATAACTTAAAAACTATTTGAGATATCGATTTGAAATTTCAATATGTTATTTCTTAAGGTGTACCGAATCTACCGAAATATGAAAAAAAGATTTTTTTTTTTTTTTGAAATTAATGTGTGGTCTAGTCTAATAGTCTCTAGTAACGAGAGATGAAGCACAAAAAGATATGAAACTGAATTAATTTTTTAATAAAGTTAAATAAATTTTGTAATTTTTGTTGGATGATCTTTCGCCATCTTTCCGGCAACATCATTATTCCATGATCATATGACTTCTGGTCTTTATCTGCAAAAAACTGAACAAAGTGGGAATTTATAGCCTCGTCATTTTAGAAAGTTTTACTGTTTAGCGAGTTCTGCGAAGATCGATACAAATGGTAGTCTGACGGTACAAAGTTAGGGATATATAGTGGATGCATCAACAGTTCCCAGTTCCTATCCCCTCTGATCCATCTTCCAACTCTTTTTAAACAGACGGATGGCACATTTTTCAATCTCTTCAACTATTTCTGCTGTTTTCCTTAACTAGCTTATCTGCTACCTACCGCCTGTATCTAAGGACATTTTGTTACGTAAAGCGTTTTAAAATCAATGTCTTTCAAAAACAGAGATCATGCTAAAATTTTTTCAGTATTTCTTATATTAAAGTAAATTACAATGCACCCGATAAGTTTAAGGTGTTAATAAATTTAAACAAAATAAAAAAATATTCAACACACACTTTGCAATTCATCAAAGCGAACCGCCTTGCAGGGCAATTAGCAACCCTTTCAGTCAACAACTGGATACTACGCACAAGACTTGTGGGCCCCAACTGGTTATGTCACAGCAAATAAAACAAATGATGCGCTCGATTCGCGAGTTTGCTTAATTTTGGCAAAATCAAATTAAATTAATATTAAAATTTAAATATCATTTCGCTTCAACACCTTTAAGAAAGGTGAAATCGGCAAATCGGAATCCGGACGTTGGTAGCGGCGAGTAACCAGCTGGGTTCCCTTGCACTTGGCATCAATTTCGCTATCCATTTTCGCTGATTGCCCCGCCTTTTTCTCCAGCTCAATACTCTTATTATGTACTTGACTGTGCGCAACGCCTGCCGAGCGCTGTTGCACACCCACCGAGCAGTGGCTACGCCCTGGGCGCCCTATGGTGCAATGCAATAAATACCTTTCAGGTGCTATAATGATCCTCTCGAAAGCGGGTGTGAGCATAAAAAGTTGAAAATAATCACAAACACTGCAATTAAATTCGACACACAAGCCCATGAAGAGCTAACGGGTGGTTGGCGGGCGAGGAGGGGGAACAGACGATAGACGCTTGCATAACCTCAGTTGGTTACTCAAACGAAATGAGGCCTGAATTTGTTGACTGCCCTATAATTACAAACATTTGTGCATATGTATATACATATATGAAGATATGTGTTGCAGGGAAGAGACCTCGCCGCGTAGGGAAAATTCGTCAACGAGGTTTGCAATGGTTTTGAGTGCGTTGAAACTTCGGACAACGTATTTTTTTGCATTTTTTTTTTCGAAATTAAACTTCCGGCGAGTTGCAGCAGTAGCGTTAATTTGATTATTATGATAACATTTTGCCGCTAACTTACTCAAACATACATACATACACGCGCAAATATTGGCCACCTTCGTTTAGTTCATCTCAGCTACTCGCCAAATGAGCTTTTGCACACGCTCTCTCGAGCAGCTTAATGTCTGCACAAAATTTTCTGCTTCTTGTATTTCTCCTTAACCTCGTCTTTTCACTTTTTTTTGCGGTTTCTTGACACTCAACTCGTTTTACCTTGCTCAACATCATCAAGCTGGCTGCTTGCTCTTGAGCTGCGCGCTTTTAAGCTTCTTCTTCATCTTCAGCTTCATCGCCATCTGCATCTGCAGTGACCAACTCAGCTGTAGTGAAGTGTTTATTTGGCTTTTTGGCCAACAAATTTACAAATAAATGCTTGTTGTTTTTGAAATTTCTTGCCGTTTTTCGGCAACCCACGATGATGTTGTTGTCTTATAATTTCGGTTGTGATATAAAAGATTGGTCTTCAACTGATTAGCATTTAGTTGATTTGTGTTTGTCAACTGGTCCAGTACGGTTTTGTGATCAGGAAAATTGCAACGCGTCCAATTGGGTTTGATTTGGATTTTTTGGAGTTCGAAATTCGAAATTCGCTTGTGAAGTGCAAATTTAAAGAAAAGATGCGCGTTTTTATTGTAAGTTTCTAGAAATTTCAACGAATATTAAAAGTGATAAAGAAAAGAAATTCAAACATTTTATTTTAAAAATAAATCTGGAAAAAACTATAAAATTTATTTCACATTTGATGGGATAAAGTTAAAAAAAAAATTAAAAAAGACGAGAAACTAATTTCAAGAAAGGTGAAAAAAGTGTTCACAAAGGAAAAACAATATTTTACTATTTATACTAATTTTGCTAAAATAGTGAATTTAATTAAAATAAAAAAACCAATTTTTAAAAATTAAAAATAAAAAAAATATATTTTTTAACTCGTTGAATTTCCATGACGAAGTGAATTTCATTGGGTAAATAATTCAATTTATCTACCTACAGCTTATCCTATGCCGCCTCCGAACGGCTAATGGTTTTTTCACGAGGAGCTTTTATTTCATATCCGAAATACACTCGAAGAACATTCCCTGTCGAGTGGCGACCGCAATTATAAAAAATATCCACTTCACACAATTACTACAGAAATATTCCAACGGTGTTAAATCGCACGATCTTAGAGGCTACGCCACACGCCAACGAGGTGATGCGCACATAAAAAGTTTCCTTCGATAAATCGATAGTGTCGTTGGCTATATGGCATATAGCGCCGTATGATTAGAACCAAAGCTCCTCCACAAGCACCAATTTAGGCATGAAAAAGTAACTAACCATGGTTCTATGCCGGTACCCATTGACTGTAACATTATGGCAGGGCAGGCTTCATTTTTGAAGAATTATGGAATAACGCTTTAATCTACTTATAGAGCACGCCAAATAATAACTTTTTGAGTTTGTAAGGGCGTCTTAAAAAAGGCTTGTGAATTAACATCACTTCATATGCGATAGTTTTGTTCATACTAATGGCTCCATGAACGTCCTAATGGGTCCATGAACGAGCGACACGCTTTATGGTAGTTCGACTACAATTTTTGCAAGCCTGGAAACCAAGATCCATAAAATGGTCCACAAAGTGGGATGAATAGAGCACTAATTGTACCTTGTGCGATGACTACTAGACTGATTCGAATCATGGTTGTTCGAACTACTGACTCAGTTGGCGATTATGTCGACTAAATATAAGACGCATTGCACGATGCGATGGGCGACCTGAACCATTATTTTGCTAGGAAATTTCCACGATTTGCAAACGTTGGCAAACGAAAATAAGTATAAATTTAATAAAAACTACCAAAAGGACCAACGCAGGAAAAAAATATTGTCTCCTTGAAAACCACACGTCCAAAAAACAAATTTCACAAAATCTCAAGATAAAAAATTACGATAGACATAATACACCAACGTTCAGATCCAAATCAGGCCAAGGGAGTCAAGAACCCAATGCGAAGAAAATATAAGCCAGACAGGACATAATTCATACACAGCAAAATCTAGACATTTCACTGTACCTCTTCAGCGTTCAGTGTTGCCTTGATTTTCTGTGGTTTTATGTGTTTTAAAGCGTATTTCGTTTGGTCTAGATTTCGTATTGCTTTTTTTTTTTTTAATATCTGGATTTATGTCTTTTGTCTTGGTTTTTAATAGTTATTGGATTATGTTGCTGTCGGAAATATAGAGCGCTCTCCATATGGAGAGATCTCTCGATATTCAAGCCGTTGGGGTAACGATTTACCTGCTGGGAACTTTGGCTTATTATTCAGATTTTGATAATTATTTTTAAAACTTCTAAAGTCGAATTAAATAAGGTCACAACTTTATCGAACCTCATTACCTGAATACGATTCCGTGTTCCGAGATATTTCATTTTGAAGCCTTCTGCGTGCGGCTGATTGCTCATTATTTCAGTTCGATGCATTGTTTCACTGTTTCCGATAAGAACTTAACGATGTGGCATTTTCCCGCTCTTTTAACGGTATTCAAGCAAAGCTTTGAGTCTTCCCATGCCACGGTTTTGTACCAGTGCAGTTCTTTTTGCCTTTCTCAATTTAAGTCATACATTTGACTCATACTTATTTATGAGAAATCTTGTATTAAGAATGAAGTCAGAGACCAAATGTCAGGTTATCTATCAAAAACTAGACCCTAGTTTAGCAGGATGATAATCTCGTTTTGGATAACTCAGCTATCACTGTAAATTATCAGCCCATTCCTCGATGCAATCGAGTCAACGCAGCTGTACTTGGAGGCAACAGTCTTTCGCTGTAAATATTTAACGAAACTTTATTCTCAAATGTTCAAAGAAGAAAAAGTAGCACAAGTAAGGATACCTCCAAAATAATTAGCTCAAATTGTTGAGAGACAGGTTCTGAATTTCCAACCCGAATAGACGGTATGTTATACATAAATAAAGCGGTGTTCTGAGGGCTCAGATAATGATGATATTATTTTTTTCTACCTGTCCGTTGTGGCCTGCCATTAGACTGGTAATTCTCCTGCAATTCTTTTGCAACTGCGTAAGCAATAAGTGTGCTTTTCTTCTGTTCCATACGCATTCCCTTGGCGGTCTTACATTTCTTTAAGGCGTCCTCTCTCATTAAACGACCTTTTCACTGCCGCCTTGATCAATAATTTTTTCTTACATCGTAAGGTGTGGGAAAGAAGTCAAGCCCAGCACTGAATTTCTGAACTTAGCCGAGGGTTGCTATTAGCACCGCTATCGAAATCAGCTTCATCTTTTGTCGCCATGCATCTTTTGTCGCCATTAATATAGAAGCAAACCACTGAAACATCGTTTTCAAGATATTTCTCCGTCTGTCGTCACCGCTTACACTTTGTTTTATTCGAATTCACTAATCATTAAAATAAATCCCTCTTTCAGACCCTCTGCCTGCTGGCTACGGCCTATGCAAAACCCCAAGGCTACAACTACCAAAATCAACAGAGTAGCAGCAGCAGCAGCTATCAAAATCAGCAACAACAACATAGCAGTTTTCAAATCAAGCTACCCGGCCTTAGCACCAGCACTTCAAGTGGCATCGGCGTACCGGAAGCGCCAAGTTTCCTACAACAAGCGTTACAAAATACCAAATTGACGCAATCACTCATCAACGCACCACCACCAACAACTTATATACCACCCGCCGCCGCTGTCAGTGTACCCGCACCTCTCCCAACGGTAGCAACACCAAATAACTTCTATCAGAGTCCACCACAGTCACAGTTGCAAACAAGTGGCTTCCAAACAGGTTTCCAACCCAGTCATGGTCACCAACAACTACCCAGCTTCTCCTCATACCCGCAACAGTACCAACAAGGCGGTAACTTTGGTCAGCCACCATCATCCTCGCTGGTTACCAAGGATATTTATGTGCATGTTGCACCAGAAGAGCATGAAGAACACTATCAACGACCAGTGCTGCCACCACCGCCACCGCGCAAGCACTATCGCATCGTCTTCATCAAAGCGCCATCACCGAAACCAAGCGCCGCCGCTTTGCGTGTCAATCAAGCACCAACCGAAGAGAAGACTATCATCTATGTGCTCACACGTAAGCCCGATCCAATTGATTTGGAGGCAGCTTATCAGGAGGCAGCACCCAAACAGCCCAGCAAACCGGAAGTCTATTTCATTAAATACCGGACACAAGAGGAAGCACAACATGCCCAGCGCACCATTCAAGGTAGGTCACAAGCTACAAGTTGTTCGGGTATCGATCTAAGTAAAGTTCGAAAATTCGCCTAAGAATAGTTTGCAAAAAATTCGCGTTGAAATGTTTATTAATATTACGGTATTCATTTCCTGTTCTGCGGCATTTCCAATGCAAATTTTTTGAAAGTCGTTGAACGTCATCAAAAATTTTGGCAGATGCCAATAAGACGGTGAATCATAATAACAACGATTTTTGCTTCACTTTTGCTTATTGGTTTTTGGCATTGTTTTTCACCTTTTGTCTTCTTTTGAATTTTTTGAATTCATTCAGTTGCATAATCGAAGCGTTAAACGGCTCTTTCGGTTGCCATAAAATTGTATGTAAATTTCTACGCTATTTGTGTTTGTATTTCAAAAATATTTCTGTACAAATGTTGAGCGGTCTCTTAAGATCTAGCGTTTCCGCGCTTCATCTGCCTGCGAAAACAACTAAGCGTGGAATACAGAAGGTCGTTAGAAACTTATTAGCGAAAAGCTTTTGATCCTAAAGGACTAAAACTAAGAAAACTTTGACTAATTTTTAATAGTGTCTCAAAGTCTGAATGTGGTTAGATAAGGTTTTATTTAATTTTTCTGAGAGAATATTTTATTTTTTTCGTCTCAGAAGCAGTTCCCTGATCTCATCGCAACTCCTATTAATTTTAGAACAGATCCAGTGTCGCTGAAATCCCAGTAAATGCTTTAGAAAGGGGGAATCTACGATTCAAAACTGTGTCAAGTAGAAATTAGAACTAAGCGTTGTCTCTCAGCGATTTAAGTCCTACAAGGAAATGGATAGTCAATTGAATTTTTTTCTGTCATTAACACAAAAATTAACAACAAAAGGTTAAGACTTTTTCCATCATGCATTAGGTCTATTAAATAAATATTGGCAAAAAAAGATGTGATAAACGCTCTTCACAGGATTTTTTTGCGGCCAACTCTTCACTAGCCAAATTATTCAGCACAAATAAGAACATATGTCAAACACTTGGTGAGAGCTCCGAACTATAATGTGAATGCATAAGAATCTCCCAACCAAGTTCTGGAAGCTTCTAGGCAGTCACTATCTATGAGTGTGGTCTGGCGCTGTGCTCATGGGACATATTTCCACTGCTCGCCCACCTGATGGCTAAAGCTGGGGGATTTCTTCCCTCTGACGGTCCAAAGGAGAAATTCTCATAGTAAATTATCCTTTGCCGAACCTACCAAGCGCACAACAAAATTTTTCTGACCGTCAATTCTGGTTTGGTGACCTCTTATACCACCGTTTTCATTTGAAGTCGGTCAAAGTGAATTCAAGCTGCTTGCTGTATAATGTTTGGCTCCAGCACAATCGAAATATTGCTCTCGATTTCTGTTTAATCGGTTAAAGAATTTAAGGCTGAATACTCAGAAAGTGTCGATGCAGTGTAGAACGGTTAGTTCTCGTTTGAAATGCAACACCCCAGTAATCTAGTCATCATAGTGTTCATTACAGAAGATGGTCGTTTAATTCTAATACGGTTTTTGCATCTGTTTGCTGTTCATCATGTTACTCGAAGCTATCCCGAATTTCGGACTACTTTCTGCATTGAATAATTTAACAGCTGTCTATGGTTAGTTAAGGAAAAACGTAGTAAGGTTTAAGGGTGGCTAAAATACCAGTTTAATATTGGTTAAAGCGACTCATACGGCGTTAAAGTAGAGAAAGTTCCTACAAGCTTACCTCTATTTCACGAACATTAGAACCTTCGCTTTTTTTCACTCTTAGTCAAGGCACTAAATACCAAAAATAATACCGCAAAATTTATTATTGAAGGTGGTAACTTTGCTCAAAACTGCTCTATGAGTTTAAGACAGAAAACCTCAACAAACGACGCCATTTCGTTTTGTTAATATGGAAACTTTTCGGAATGTTACCGATACGCAATGAAATTGTTAATGCTTAAACCGCACAAGCTCATCGTCAACTTTAACTCTAAATGGCAATCTGTTATGGTATTAACAGAACTTCACCTTTGACGCTTAACATTTCTGTTAAAGATTTAACATAAACGACAGCAATTCGTTTCGGTTAAAAACGATAGCATTTACAAATCTTTCAACTCAATCGATTTACGTTTTTTTCCAGTTTTCGATTAAAAATCTTAAACACGAAGCTTCTCAAGCAGGAGTATGCTATATGCAAAAGAAGTAAGAATTTTCTGTGTCTTTTTTCTATATTCTATCTGTGTAAAAAGTGTATAAGTGCTCCCTCAAAGATTTAAATTAATTATTTATATTTTTAATTTTTTTTAAATTAACAGCGGCTGTTTTCTTTATTGATATTCACAGCTGCTATAAGCATTCAAACCCTCTGAAATCTGCGAATCCAGGGCTACAATTTTTTCCCGAAAATTTTTGTAGAATTTCATCTATAATTCTCTCAAATCTCTTTATGAAAATGTATTTTTGACAGCAATAATAAAAAAAAATAATAATAAAAAAGCATTTCTAGTTTTCAAAAAATTTTTCTTTAATTGAAATTTAATTTCCAGAACAATACGATCAATTGGGCGGCACCACACAGATCTCCGATGAGGGTATTGCACCGGTAACCTCAGTAATTGGATCACTGGACCCACGTAATGGTGGCGCAAGTGGAAGTGGAAGCAGCAGCAGCGGCGGTGTGTCCAGCGCAGGCATTTCGAGCAGCAGTAGTTTCAGCAGCAGCAGCAGCAGCAGCAGTGGTGGTGCAAGCAAATATCTGCCGCCAATTGTGCGACTCTAAATTTAGTTAATTGAAAAAGATTTTATTTTTTTTATTTTTATTGAGATTAAATTAATCGACTGAAAGCGATTTTAATGCACAACAACAACAACGAAATGAAGACACGCGAAACACTAATTAAATACACACATAAAAAGACAATAAAAATAAATTTAAAAAAAAAAAAAACACACAAAAAATGCAACAATACTACGTATAACAGACATTAAACACACACATACATAACAAGACGCACACGCAATCACTCGTTCAATTTACGCGCTCGGTTACATATAATGCGAGTTTGACCGTTAAAAGCAGGTAAAACATTTTGGAGCTGTTTTTATTTCTTTAATTTTGCCATTTATCGTAAAATTGTTAATTAATTTTGTTATTGTTATTTTCCATTTTAAATTTCTTTAACTGCGATTTTTAATGGTTTTTTCTCATCAACTGTAGTTTGTTGTTGTTTTATTGTTATTTGATTTTCTTTCATTTTGAAAAAAAAAACTAAAATATTCCTTTGTTGAGTTACTATTTATTTTGATTTTTCCTCTATCATTGTTAATTGTTAAATTAATTTTAATATGCATGTTATACATATAAACATTTGTATGTATATAAAAATATGTGTAACAAGTGATCGCCACCTTGCGCTGCTGCAGCGCGGCCCTGCCATCTGCCGTTAGTCGATCGAATGCCAAGGCGCATAAGCACCAATTGCCAGTTAAATTAGTTGTAAGTTATTATGAAATGCATACATACATATGCACAAGCTTATGTATGTATTTATTAAGTTAACAATTTTCTACTTTTTTCTGCATATTTTTTGTAAATATGTATTTATGTGAAATAGAAAAGCATCGCGTTTCACTGCGCATAAATAAATAAAAAAATATTTTATATATAAAATTTGAAAAAACTTGTTTTTTTATTGCTACCTTAAAATTGATATGCCATAATTTATGGTCGGTTACGAAAGGTCGACACGCATAGAAATTAGCGTTGGGTTGTTGGGTAAGCAAAATGTGGAAAATTTTTAATATGAAACGTTGTAATGTTCAGATTTTGAAATCTTAGTCAATGAAAGGAGAAATAGGAAAAATAACAACAAAGGATACCGAAATTTTTTATAAATCAAAGAGGCATGAGAGTGAGAAGAAGTGAAGAAATAGAATTTTCGTGCCATGGTAACTGACCTGTCCTAAGCTAACGTCGCGTCTACTGAGAATATAAAAAAAATATTTTAAAAAATATTGTAAGACGGCAATAAGATATAGGTAAAGCTTTATGGAAAAAATAATAATAGATATTGTCGTTCTCTATACCTGTACCTGTGGAGTATTAGTAAAGGGTGGTTTTTTAAGAGCTATAGGAAAGTTAAAAAAACTCAAAAAAAAAATCAGAAAAATGATTGAAATCTTTATTTGAATTGATAATATGGTCCTTATAAGAAGATTATTTCATAGAAATGTTGACTGTGACTGTGCCTCAAATGGTTCATCCGCTTAGTCCAATTTTGGCATACTCTTTCCAACATTTCGGCCGATATCTCACGAATAAATACTTCAATGTTGTCCTCCAATGCGTCAATTGAAGCGGGCTTGTCTGTATAGACATTAGATTTAAAATAGCCCCGCAAAAATAGTCTAAAGGCGTTAAATCGCACGATCTAGGCAGCCAATTGACTGGTTCCGAACGTGAAATAAGTCCATTGTTACGCGTGCTGTATGGCATGTGGCACCGTCTTGTCGAAACCACAAGTCATGCAAGTCAAGCTCTTGCATTTTGACTAAAAATATTCATCTCACGGTAGGGGTCACCATTCACAGTCACTTTATGATTTGCATCATCTTTGAAGAAGTCGATCGAATGATGTCATCAGTCATAAACCACACCAGGATGCATTGGTAGCTCTTGCAATGTTTCTGGCTGGTCTTCACCCCAAAATCAAAAATTCTGCTTATTTACGCACCCACTAAGCCAAAAATGAGCTTCGCAATGAACTTTCTTAACAGAGAAAGCATTTTGTTAATAAAATTTAATAAGTTGCGAGCGTTTTTCGTTAGTAAGACGATGCATAATGAAATTATAGACCAAACTGAAGATGTTTGACACTGCCACAACCAATTTTGCCAAAAATATAAAAAGAGAAAAATCACCCTTAACTAAATGAAAAATTCAGCATTTAAGTCGCCTGAAAGTCGCAGCATATTTTCCCAGAATGGCAAGTACTTCAACTCACACATATTAGCGTTTACATTTTTGCCTCTGCAAATGCATCGCGTTTTCTTCACGAATTCTCAGTATCTTTCTGCTGTGGCCGATCACAATGTTGTGAGTTAGATGGTCTTTCGATAACTTTTATGTGCAGGAAATGTCCTATCAACTATGGTCCGAAGTACGTAAGTACCAAAAAGACCCTTCAATTTTATACTGTTCGGATCGGAAGCCATGTCTGACTATCCGTCTGTCTGGTTCAGTTGTATCAGTTCTTCTTTTGAGCTTATCATGCGTAAGGTGTTTAAAATAACGTCTCATAGCTACCTCATACCGAGTTGCTGATGAATGCTCTCAGAAAACTGCTTCGCTGTAAACGTAAATAACAAGATTGTCAATCTAGTATCGTTTCTTTCATTCCCGTAGCAACTAATTAGCTTGACTGTTTTTTTTTATGTCGGAATTACAGAAAACTATATATCAGTCCACGGCGAAGTCGATCAGCCCCAACCCATTTGGTGATGTTTCATGCGCTCTCTTTTATTGACGCTGTAATAAATATCGCAATGATCTACTCGTCTCCATTATTGTCCTGTCCATCTTAATTCTTGGGCGGCGATGATATCGAACTTTGGTTTTACGACTACAGCAACCAGATATGAATCGGCTCCTTCTCTAGGGGTCGGGAGTTCTTCCTCTCTCCTCGTATAAGACGTGCGCAACGTGAACGCAAGAGTAGGAGTTGAGAGCAGACAAAACTTGAAACAATACTTGGAATATCAACTAAAAGTTTGAAAGAAAATACTTAAGTAACTTGTCCCATTAAAATATATGTAAGAAATATATGTAAGAACTAGTCGGGGTACAAATTAATTCGTTCCGTTGCCACCCACTTGGGTTTTTGAAAAAGTGAAAAAAGTTGCAATGATTGCATCGCTAATAGAGAGATAAGTTTTTTAGAAAAGGCATTCAACAGTTACCAAAGGGAAGGGATTGGGAAAAGTAATTGCTTTCAACGGAAAATATTCTGACTGATGTATTTTTTAAAACTTTTTTTTAATAAAATACACTTTTTTGAAAACAAGAAGATGAACAAAATAAGCTGCCAGTTCTTAACAGAGCTTTTATTGAGTCATTCCTGACTTTTCATCTTTAGGGTTCATGTTGACAGTAATTTTCGATGAGTTTTTTTTAACTTTTTCCAACCCCTTTCTGGTCTTGGACAAGAGCCGAGAAGGAGAATGACAAGTTTGTGAACTTGAAACACCCAATAAAAACTAATCCTTCTTCTTTTTCTTTTTTATTATTGTGGGTACTACTTACGTGATTGTAGACGACTCAATAATAGCGCGCTATCCGTTTCTTTTCATCGCTCTTTGGCGCAAGTTGGAAATACGAAGTATGACGAAATTACCCACGACCACGAAGTTATGATGGGAGCCAAGTCGCGAGAGCGATGACTTTTTATTTGATGACAAGAAATATTTCGTCTTGTCCTCTTCCTCTACCAGACTCATTCTCTTCGCTTCTTCATTAAGCCTGGAGAAAGCAGAACTGACGGCGAAGTTATTGAGGCCAATAATGTCAATATCATAGGCATACGCCAATAGTTGTGTATCCTCTCTGTTCAGCTCTGCAGCACTAAGCACTAAGAGTCGCCCTATCTTAAGCCTCTTTTGGCTCGGAGAGTTCCTTACCAATACTGACCGCGCTTCTGTTTACACAGACGTATGAGTTTTTAGAAAATATGGCGTAGAGGCAGCTTCTTACTGTGTCGTTGAAAGTTGCTTTAAACACGATAGAAATTCGATGTGTATCGACTCTTTTCTCACGGCTCTTTCCTAAGATTTGAAACAGAGCGAATATCAATTGTAAATGGTTGATTTACCAGGTCTATAAGTACCAATCAGAGCGTTGTATGTGGGTTTTAGTATTTCACTCAACGCACTCAATATCACCTTATGTGCGATATTTAGGAAACTCATCCTATGGTGATTGGTGTAGGCCGTGGGGTCCACTTATTATAGATTGGACAAAGCATACTTAAGTTCCAATTGTCGTGCCTACTTTCATCCGACCATACTCCGCAAAGTAGCTTATGCATACACCTCGTCAGCTCTTCACGGTCATGTGTAAAAAATCTCAGTCGGTAAGCCATTGGCTGCACCCCAAGTTTGTATTATACTTTAAGCTTTTGGAATCACGATATAGTCGAGTAATGGAACGTCTTTTCCATTATCCATCAACGATTGGGGTTTCCCGTGCGCTATCTCCGGGTATTGCAATTTCACTGCTATTCAGCAAGCCGGTGAAGTCTTCCCTCTATACACCCAAGTACCCGTTGGGTATCGATCACCAGATTTCCACATTGTTTCCTATATGAGTATGATCTGGTCTAATACCTTCAGTAAGGTGCCGCATCTTTTCTCCTCTGATTTTCTCCCAAATATTAAGCAAAATTTCCAAAATTCATAATATGAAATCAAAAGCCTTTATATCGTTTATGAAATTCATAAAGGGTTCAACCATTTTACATATACAAAAATCAAATCCAAAATTTTGATTATTTTGATTTCATTTGAAAAATACATGAAAAAATTGGAAACCTAAAATATTATTATATCAGTTTAAAAAAATAGCATTAAAGTCCTTTTACTATTCAAAGACTTTTGGGACGATTGGATTGATGGCATTTACTTGATTTCTTAATTAACGTTTCAATACCTTAAAAAATCCAACAATTATTCAATCAGCATTCCAGCTATTAGCTTTAAGACATAACTTAATGGCCTAGAGACCAAATTTCACGTCCAATAAACCATTTACGGTGTTTTAATTTTCCCCCACAACTATTGTTTTTGTGCATCGTTATCGTCAAATGGAATTTATTGGTAAATTTTTCGGTTACTTCAGTTGAATTTGTT